GTGAAGAAAAATCCTAGAATTACGCATATATGTAAAAATAGCCGATATAATTACAGATCAATTTTCCTTCACACGTGAAACAATAAACGTTATTAAGCAGTGACGTGTAATCTCAGTAATATTCCATAATTACACATCACTGTTTACTCATTCTTCATGATAATCGCTTGAATCCTACAGTGCGTTTGTCATTAAATAATATAAATTCGTTTATTCGGAGACGAAATGCTTTTTTACGTCAGTCATGGTATTGCTGGCAGTTGTTGTTACGTAACATTTAATCATTAGACGTCGAGAGAGAAAGGTCACTGCCGTGAGATATTCCGTCGTTTCAGAGAATGTCGACACAGAGCGATAATGCCAATTCATCATAAGAAACGCGCGCCTATTCATACTGTTACTTCACGCATAGGCCCTGCCCCGTTACATGCCTCATTGCATAAAGATATACGTTCGAGGAAGAATATTCTCGTGAAATGATCTTGACATAAATTACACCACACGTACACAGTTAGCGGCAAGTGTAGCAGACAGTAAAAGATGTAATCAGCATTGCAGAAAAGTGGGTACAATGCATATGGAGAAGTGTCTCGGCATCAACTTTACCACGCTTTTCCTGAGAAGTGGAATCTTCGAAAAGAGGAACTATTCTTGAAAACGAATTGAAACAAAGTAAAATTGATATTTGTAGCTTGAATAAGCAGAATACTGACAACATTTATTATTACGTGGTGGTGCGTGCTTTGATTTTACAAATCCCTTCTTTCCAAGTTGATTACTCAACGGTCTCTCACAAGTAGGAACGTGATAATATCACCATCAAAATACGAACAGTTTAAATGCATGATAGTGTAATGATCTCAAGTATTTCAAGCCTAAAATTTCCTTTTTTTGTGCGCTTTAAGATAAGTTGTGTCCATTTTGTAAACGATTAGATATTCTAGTATGGAATATAATCAAAATGACTTCTTATCTTATTTCTCTTTATTCATTCGTTATTTCTAATATACACTGGTCAAAAAAATGTCGATTGAATGACGAGTTGATGCAAAAAAAAGACTAGCGGCCAACAATCGACGCAAAGTCATTTCGCAAAATCGCAAAATCATTCTTTTTCATGTTAACGTTCGACTACATGTTACGAAAAGCATGAAGCATACACTTTTAGAGCTTGAAAATGGGAAGTTCTCACGCATCCAGTGATGCTGGCGATGAACGTCTGCCACATAGCCACAGTGGTGGTGGAGATATGGTGGGCATGGCGCCTGTATCGCATACTGCTACGTGCTGCATACGTGCACTGCCCACACATATACGGCATGTAGCTTGTGTGTGGCACGGGAGCCATCCTCACCATATACATATACCCCACCACCATGATGATTATGTAGCAGACGTTCATCGCCGGCATCACTGGATGCACCCAGCATACTCTCCAGACTTGGGACCGTCGGATTACCATCTCATCCGGTTGGTACATGCACTTACGGACACACACTTTTCCAGTTACGAAGAAGTCCAAAAATAGGCGGATGAATGGATCGTCTTGAAAGAGGCACGCCGTTCTACCGTCGTGAGATTGCTCTGTTGCCGGAGAGATGGGAAAAAGTAGTTGAAAATGGAGGAAATTATTTTGATTAAGATTCATTCATCTTCCATTCGAAACAAATCAAGTTTGGAAACGAAAAAACAGCAAGAGTTAAGTTTACCACCTAACATTCCATTAACATTCCTTTTTTGCGACACGGTTGAACAAGCAAGGAATATCACATATATGCACTTTACTTCTCCCTTTGAACGTTATATCTTCCTATGTACAGTATGGTGCATTAGATCGGTCCGGGTAATAACTAAGGATGGGCAAAAATACTTGATTATTTAAACGTAGATGCTTTCTGATGATACGACCCGAACCGAATTAACGTACCGCACTGTACATACGCAGTTGAAAAATTTGTGTTAAATTTAACAGATATCACATGTCCCAAACGGCCCACACAAATTTTTGTGATAATTTAACATAATATGGATATACCAGTAATGAATAAAAATAGCATTCTTACAAAGGTGGCTATTTAAGAAAACTAAAGCATCGCCATGACGCAAACAACATGCGTTCCTTATGCGATGTACGACCTGAAGTATATTTACATTGTAAATTATGCTGGCCTACTTAATATTTCATTTAAAAAATCGTTATATCTGCGCTTGAATTTAAACAACGTTTATTCTCATGACCTTTGACGTGATAATCAAGTCAATATGATAATTATCTTTGTTTGCTTTTTTACGATGACGTTACGCACGAATTCTATAAATAAATTCAATTTTCTAAGTATTTGAAAGGAAGTTATCGAGACGAGTTAATTTACTGCGACAAAAAATCGTAAACTGTAACGGATACTAACAATAAGAGTTTTTAGGTAATTATTTATTTTCAAAGGGAATATTTTTGGAAATTTTTAATTTAATTTTAAGTTTAAGCGACAAAGAGAAACTTAAATTCATATTCGTGAGAAAATTACTTTTATTCTTAAAATAATATTTTCATCGAATTTTTATTAATAACTAAAATATTGCAAATAATAAGCCTTTCGCGACGATTTTTAAGTAATAAATCGCTAAAACAAGATGTGGATATAGAGAATAAAAATACGTTTGCATTGTAAAGTGAAAGTGAGCTGTACTTTGTTCAAACAACTTATCATTCGCCAAGTGACGAGCTGCGATAATTACATTTGATACTACACTGGTCAAAAAAATTAACGCAACAAGAAATTTACATCAAAATTTGGCGAATTTCAAATAAGCGTAACTTCGCGAAAACTGGTCGAATTGAACAGTTTTTTTTTCATTTTATAGGGCAAAGCCTCTGCTTTAAGAAGCTCTTATTGGAATTTGCATTCACTCTTCCCATTTCCCGGAACTTTCTCAAAATCATGACCATGTTTTTTCTTTAAAAAATTGCACACTTTGACGCACTGTGCGGAGTGTAGTAATTTTTCTTCGCCAGTTCTGCTTACGGTATCAAAAAGTGTATACTTTTCTCTTCAATTAAAAAAAAAAGAAGTTCCTACGATTTTTTTTCGCCAAATCACAACTCATTGAAATAACCCTTGTGTTTTCGACATTACCGATGATATCTCCGTTAAAAATCATCGTAGCAAGATCGTTTTTTTTTAAATTAAAGCTTGCACTTTCAGCTTCGAAAACTAGTCACCAGATTTTTCCTCGAATGCATCTGCGCTGCTGTAGCTTTTAAAATGTAAGGACATGTTTTTACCTAAAAACTAACCAACTTTGGCCAGGTGCCTGGGCGTAGGAAATTTTTCCTCGCTAATTCTGCTCGAAGTATCAAAAAGTGTGTACTTTTCCCTTCAATTTAAAAAAAAAAGAAGTTACTGCGATTTTTTTTCGCCAAGTTACAGTTTTTTGAAGTAATCCTTGTATTCTCGTTCATTACCGTCGACATCGGCGTAACCCAATGTGCACGTGGAGGTTGCCGTTCGGATTTTGCACATCGTGTGGTCCTACAAGTCACGCAGCCTTCTTCCCATCATATCCCAGTATGTTCGATATGAATACACCACTGGCCCTCTT